GCACTAACTGTGGCCGTGGAGGGCACACCCCGGCTAGGTGTTGGGGAGGGTCCCCCGGTGAGGGAGAAGGCAGGTCACGCATTGGGGGGTCCCCCCAGGTGAGTAGGCGCCCTACTTACCCAGAGCTTTCTGTCGTGCACCTAACCTTGCCTGTTTGTTTTCCACAGGTTGCACCTCGTTCACAGCATAAGGCGCTGGTAGATTCAGGCGCAGCTGGGAATTTTGTAGATCGCCAGTTCTGTATAGAGTTAGGGATTCCCCTCCTTCCAGTTGATAAGCCTTTTCCCGTTCATGCCCTAGATAGCCGTCCGTTAGGGTCTGGGTTGATTAGGGAGGTCACAGCACCCCTTCAGATGATGGCGCAGTAGGGTCATGAGGAGATAATTCAGCTCTATCTGATTGACTCTCCTGCGTATCCGGTAGTGCTGGGTCTTCCCTGGTTGATGACCCATGACCCTACTATTATGTGGCGAGAGAAAGCTCTTAAAGGGTGGTCTGCCCAGTGTGAGGGGCGGTGTCTGGGTGTTTCCATAGGGGCGACCTCGGTGGAAAGTCCGAATCTAATGACAGCACTGCATATTCCCCCCGAGTATGAGGATTTGAAACTGGTGTTTAGTAAGACTAGGGCGGCGCAGCTGCCGCCTCATAGACGGGGGGATTGTGCGATAGATCTCCAGTCAGGAGCAGCTCTCCCGCGGAGCCATGTGTATCCCTTGTCTCAAGAGGAGAGAAAGGCAATGGAGACGTACATCGCTGAGTCTCTTAGACAGGGATACATACGGGCCTCCACTTCACCCGCTTCCTCGAGTTTCTTTTTTGTGAAGAAAAAGGATGGAGGTCTGCGCCCGTGTATTGATTACCGCGGTCTCAATCAGATCACAGTGAAGTACAGCTATCCACTTCCTCTGATTGCGACTATGACGGAGTCACTGCACGGTGCGCAGTTCTTTACAAAATTGGATCTCAGGAGCGCATATAACTTGGTGCGCATTAGAGAGGGCGATGAATGGAAGACAGCGTTTAGCACGACTTCCGGACACTACGAGTATCTAGTCATGCCATATGGGTTAATGAATGCTCCCTCAGTCTTCCAATCCTTCGTCGATGAGATTTTCCGGGACATGCAGGGACAGGGAGTAGTTGTGTACATCGACGACATTCTGGTGTACAGTCCTACCCGTGCAGAGCATGTAGCCCTGGTGCGCCGAGTATTGAGGAGGCTGTTGGAGCATGACCTATATGTCAAGGCAGAGAAATGTCTGTTTTTTCAGAAGTCGGTCTCCTTTCTGGGTTACCAGTTGTCTGCGTCAGGGTTGAAGATGGAGGTAGACCGGGTGTCAGCTGTGCGTAATTGGCAGACCCCAACCACTGTGAAGGAGGTGCAACGGTTCTTGGGTTTTGCGAATTATTACCGGAGGTTTATCCGGGGTTTTGGACAGGTGGCAGCTCCCATAACGTCTCTGTTAAAGGGGGGTCCGGTGCGCTTGCGGTGGTCAGCTGAGGCGGACAGGGCATTTGGGAGACTGAAGGACCTGTTTACCTCGGCGCCGGTGTTGGCGCATCCGGATCCCTCTTTACCGTTCCAGGTAGAGGTGGACGCGTCAGAGGCCGGGATAGGGGCCGTTCTTTCCCAGCGTTCTGGCACTCCACCTAAACTCCGTCCCTGTGCGTTTTATTCAAAGAAGCTCAGTCCGGCGGAGCGGAATTATGACGTAGGAGACAGGGAGCTGTTAGCCGTGGTACAGGCCCTAAAGGTGTGGCGGCATTGGCTCGAGGGGGCTCAACACCCTTTCCTCATTCTAACTGACCATCGTAACCTGGAGTACATCCGGGCAGCTAGGAGACTGAATCCTCGCCAGGCCCGCTGGACTATGTTTCTAGCCCGGTTTGTGTTTAAGATCACATACATCCCTGGGTCCCAGAACGGGAAGGCAGATGCTCTGTCTCGGCGGTATGACGCGGAGGAGAGGTCCGTTGAGCCCACGCCCATACTACCAGAGTCTTGTCTGGTTGCACCGGTGGTGTGGGAGGTTGATGGCGAGATCGAGCGGGCGTTACGCACCGACCCGAGTCCTCCACAGTGTCCAGTGGGTCGGACGTACGTTCCGCTCGAGGTACGCGATCGCCTCATTTGTTGGGCTCATACGTCCCCCTCCTCTGGCCATCCGGGTATCGGCCGGACAGTGCACTGCCTTAGCACGAAGTACTGGTGGCCAACGTTAGCTAGGGATGTGAGGATTTATGTCTCCTCCTGTTCGGTGTGTGCCCAGTGTAAGGCGCCCAGACATTTGCCCAGGGGTAAGTTACAACCCCTGCCTATTCCACAACGACCCTGGTCCCACCTCTCGGTGGATTTTGTTACCGACCTTCCACCCTCACAGGGGAATACTACCATCCTGGTCGTTGTGGATCGGTTCTCGAAGGCCTGTCGTCTCCTTCCCATGCCGGGTCTACCCACTGCCCTACAGACCGCAGAGGCTCTGTTCACCCATGTCTTCCGGCATTACGGGGTACCCGAGGATATAGTGTCTGACCGAGGCCCCCAGTTCACCTCCAGAGTGTGGAGAGCATTTATGGAACGGTTGGGGGTTTCGGTAAGCCTTACCTCGGGTTACCACCCGGAGAGTAATGGGCAGGTTGAACGTGTGAACCAGGATGTGGGTAGGTTTCTGAGGTCATACTGTCAGGGCCGGCCGGAGGAGTGGGCGAGATATGTGCCCTGGGCCGAGATGGCACAGAACTCTCTTCGCCACTCCTCCACCCAACTAACCCCTTTTCAGTGTGTATTAGGGTACCAGCCGGTTCTGGCACCATGGCATGAGAGCCAGATCGAGGCCCCCGCTGTGGATGAGTGGGTGCGGCGCTCGGAGGAGATGTGGGACGCTGCACACGTCCATCTGCAGCGTGCCATACATCGACAGAAGACGAGCGCCGACCTACACCGCAGTGAGGGGCCAGTGTACGCACCTGGAGATCGAGTCTGGCTCTCAACCAGAAACCTGCCCCTCCGCCTGCCCTGCCGGAAGCTGGGTCGGCGGTTTGTGGGGCCCTTTAAAGTCCTGAGGAGATTGAACGAGGTGAGTTACAGGTTAGAACTACCTATTGATTACAAGAATATTAACCCCTCGTTCCATGTGTCTCTCCTCAGGCCGGTGGTAGCTGGTCCACTCCAGGACTTTGAGATTGAGGAGACTCCTCCACCCCCGTTGGACATCGAGGGGGCTCCGGCGTACACCGTGAGGTCCATCCTTGATTCGAGACGCCGGATGGGGGGTCTTCAATATCTCGTGGAGTGGGAGGGGTACGGTCCGGAGGAGCGGTGCTGGGTGCCAAGGAGGGACATATTGGACCAGTCCCTGCTGACCGAGTTCCATCGGGGTCATCCTGCGCGCCCTGCTCCGCGTCGTCCGGGTCGTCCCCGAGCCCCGGGTCGGCGCACGGCTGGAGCCGCGCTTCAAGGGGGGGGTACTGTCACGGTTTCGGCCGAGGCTGCTCCTCTTCCTTGTTCGGGCAGGCTTCGGCGGTCGTCGTCTCCGGAGTACTAGCTGCCACCGTTCTATGTTTCTTGTTCGTTTGGTTTTGTCTCTTTGTAACACCTGTCCCTTGTTTGTGTTTGATGATGTTCCCTATTTAGTTTCGTTTGTTTGGGTCAGGTGTTATGCGTGATTGTTTATTGTCAGACTGCCTCTGTATGGTTACATTTCTCTCGTTGTTGCTTGTCCCGAGAGTTCGCACTGCGTGCGCTTTTCTTGTGTATTTTCGCACTGTGTTTGTGCGTAATTGTTTTGCGCCACCCGGTTGGGTTGGCGACTATTTTGTTCACGTGTTTGAACGTTACTAAAAAGACGGTTGAAGTCATCCTGGTTCCTGCGCTTGATTCCTTCCACTCATCTACACACACCACTCTGACAATTATTCTGACATTTCACATTCTTAGAATAAAGTGGTGATCCTAACTGACCTAAGACAGGGAATTTTTACTAGGATTAAATGTCAAGAATTGTGTAAAACTGAGTTTAAATGTATTTGGCCAAGGTGTATGTAAACTTCCGACTTCAACTGTATATATATATTTAGGGGGGGGAATTTTAGTTTTTTGTCAAAATTTTTTGCTAAACATGAGTTTAATTTAGGAAATCTGTTCACTAAGTATTCACACAAATAAAAAAAGAGACATATGTGATCGTGTCTCAATGTAATAGTAGGAAATGATTGTTATTTTCAAATACAATCTCTTTTTGGGCTTAGTTGTGGTCAAGTTGCAGTGTACAAATGATTATAATTTGTATAAATTATTATAAATCCGCATGGATGACGGGTAGTGTAAATCCCTCACATAGGTTATTAAAATACAGTAAGTAGGTTTGAAGATAGTTAATAACCTGGAAAATTAATAATTGACTAAGGTATAGCAGACTTCTGTCCTGAAACTCATCACGTGAAGATATGTAGCCTAGTGGTCCAGTCTGTTCGTGCTTTAGCCAATGTACAGCTTGACAACGATAGAAGATAGAGTTAGGCTAAATACTGTACATACAGTCTAGAACCAGGCTAGGAGAAGTGTACTGTTAGCTTGGTTCCAGATCGGTTTGTGCTCTTGCCAACTCGATAGCTGTCATTGTCAACACAGTTATCGTAAATTAAATTAAATGTTTGGCATGACAATTCCATAAGGAGTTGGCAAGAGAGCAGAAACAGACTGGCACCCAGGCTAGAGTACTGTCCACACTGACCTGTGGCTAGAATAAATGCAGTATGGGACCATATAAATATAATCTAGATCATTTCTATGTATTTCTATGATTTTTCTATGTATGGGACCAGGTTTGGAGAGGTAGAGGGTTACTGTCCACACTGACATGTGGCTACTGCAGCATAGGACCATATAAATAGACTGAGGGGACACTCAATATGTCCGACAGTCCTCTCATTATGGCATAACTGACCTGAATGGGGATGCCTGCTATATTCATTCTAATTCTATGAATTGGACAAGGCTAGGAGGAGATAGCGGTGACCTGTCCACACTGACCTGTTGCTGCGGAGATGGTGGTGGGGCCACTCTGCCTGCGTCCCCTTTCAGCGGTCAGGGTGATGGTGTACAGCATGCCGGGCGTCAAGTTCCTCATGGTGTACTTGACGTCTCTGGAGAAGGGTGACACCTCAGCACTTCGCCCGTCGGCTGACACGTACTCCAGCTTGTACTTGTCGATCTTAGCCACCGGCTTCTGCCACACCAACACCATCTCAGTCTCAGAGGAAGACTCCACCTCCAGGTTCTTAGGAGCATCCAATGCTGAAGAGAAGAATATAGAAGGAGAATATAGAATATAGAAGGAGAATATAGAATATAGAAGGAGAATATAGAATATAGAAGGAAAATATAGAATATAGAAGGAGAATAGAGAATATAGAAGGATAATATAGAATATAGAAGGATAATATAGAATATAGAAGGAGAATATAGAATATAGAAGGAGAATATAGAATATAGAAGGAAAATATAGAATATAGAAGGAGAATATAGAATATAGAAGGAGAATATAGAATATAGAGGGAGAGTATATTTAAAATAGTGTAAGACAAGTGGAGATAACTATTTGTGGATTGTAGGACAGTTGAATGGGAGTTATTATTAGTACATTATTACTACAATCCATGACCGTAAACAAAAACAATGTATTTATTTACAATACAGAAAAGGTTGATAGATCTCACCTGTAACAGCGTTGGTGGTCGTAGGAAGGCTCTCACGCTCACTCTTCACGGCTGTCACTCCCATCCCATACTCTGTCCCAGCTCTCAGGCCTACACAACACACAGACGAAGAACACTTATCGTACCGGATGTATGCAAACAGAGCATGAGAACAAAAACATGTTATTTGTATTTCTTTATCAGGTATTTATCGATGAAAACAGTATGTTTAAAGTTTTATATTAAAACACCCAGCTGTTTGTAGCTAATAGCTTCGACAACAATGAAAAATACCGAAGCTCTTCAAGGCCTTAATTGCCTAGCTAATAGATTCAAGCATAATTGGGTTTATTTTCAGCCTCTTCATTTTGGAACCTGTATTTGGGACCTCTATTTGCACTGATGGCTCTAGAAGAGGCTCTATATGGGCCAGAAACAACATTTGCTATGATATAAAAGGCTTTGAGATCCCTTTAGTCCGGCTGTGCGGCCGCGGTGCGCGGTGCAATTAAGAGCTCTCAGTCCAACGCCCTTTATTTCCTTTATTAACTCCCACAGAGGTCACTAGGCAACCAGGCACTAGGAGTCTTGCAGCATGAAATTACAGCTAATGCAGAGGAAACTCATTATCAATAAAATCACAAGCGTGAAGGTAATTACAGATAATAACTGTGTGAAAAAAGTGCTGAGGTTTGTGAGGAGTGGAGGGGGACCGGGGGAGGCCAGTCAGCTGAATAGACACAATGTGTGCGTCCCAAATGGTACCTTATTCCCTATATAGTGCACTACTTTTGACCAGGGCCTAGCCCTATGGTCCCTGATCAAAAGTAGTGCACTATATAGGGAATAGGATGGCATTTGGGACACAACCAATGCCTTATTTACAGGGGATGGGTCTCCCAAGGACAAAGAATGTGCCCCAGACAAAGACACTATTACCCGTTTGGAACCTTTTTCCTTTTTTTTCTCAGCCAGGGAGCCTAATCCGTCGATGCAGTGGCACATGGTTTAGAAAAACGAGTCTGTCCGCCCGCCCGACTCAAAGCATGGAGTATAATGGGAACCGGTGCAGGAGGATAAAAATAGGCCTTCCCTGCTTTTCTTGTTTAACCAGGATGGATCTCACATTGAAGTAGCAGTGTTATTCCATTTAAGGCCTGAATGCAATCTCCCTTGGGCTGTTATCCAATAAAGTGGGGGTCTTTTGTGGCCGGGCAAACGTTTCACGACACAAAAACAAAGCAACCCATTTGGAAATAAGTGTATTGAATTTAATAATGAACATTTAGAGGAGGGCCACAAACGCTTCGCGGCAGAACAGTTGGCACAGCGAGGCTGCCGTTTACATTGAAAAACAATACACTATATATACAACAATATGTGGACACCCCTTCAAATTAGTGGATTTGGCTATTTCAGCCACACCTGTTGCTGACAGGTGTATAAACTCGAGCACACAACCATGCAATCTCCATAGACAAACATTGGCAGTAGAATCGCCTTACTGAAGAGCTCAGTGACTTTCGACGTGGCACCATCATAGGATTCACCTTTCCAACAAGTCAGTTTGTCAAATTTCTGCCATGCTAGAGCTGCCCAGGTCAACATAAGTGCTGTTATTGTGAAGTGGAAATGTCTTGGAGCAACAACGGCTCAGCCGCAAAGTTGTATGCCACACAAGCTCACAGAACAGGTCCGCCGAGTGCTGAAGAATTTAGCGTAAAAAACGCCTGTCCTCGGTTGCAACAATCACTACTGAGTTCCAAACTGCCTCTGGAAGCAACATCAGCACAATAACTGTTCGTCAAGAGCTGGGTTTCCATGGCCAAGCAGCCACACACAAGCCTAAGATCACCATGCGTAATGCCAAGCGTCATGCTGGAGTGGTGTAACATCCTCCGCCATTGGACTCTGGAGCAGTGGAAACGTGTTCTCTGGAGTGATGAATCACGCTTCACCATCTGGCAGTCCGACGGACGAATCTGGGTTTGGAGGATGCCAGGAGAATGTTACCTCCCCCAATGCATAGTGCCAACTGTAAAGTTTGGTGGAGGAAGAATAATGGTCTGGGGCTGTTTTTCATGGTTCGGGCTAGGCCCCTTAGTTCCAGTGAAGGGAAATCTTAACGCTACAGCATACCACGACATTCTAGACGATTCTGTGCTTATAACTTTGTTGGAACATTTTGGGGAAGGCCCTTACCTGTTTCAGCATGACAATGCCCCCGTGCATAAAGTGAGGTGCATATAGAAATGGTTTGTCAAGATCGGTGTGGAAGAACTTGACTGGCCTGCACAGAGCCCTGACCTCAATCCCATCGAACACCTTTGGGATTGAATTGGAACAACATCAGTGCCCGACTTCGCTAATGCTCTTATGGCTGAATGGAAGCAAGTCCCCGCAGAAATATTCCAACATCTAGTAGAAAGCCTTCCCAGAAGAGTGGAGGCTGTTATAGAAGCAAAGGGGGGGACCAACTCCATATTAATGCCCATGATTTTGGAATGAGTTGTTCGACGAGCAGGTGTCCATATACATTTGGTCATGTAGTGTATATTAATTTACACAAAGACAGGATGGTTGTTTTATAGCTGTTCTCACATTGACTTTTTTTTAAAGAGGTAACAACAAAAGTATCTAAAAACTGAAAATGTACCCGAAGGACAGTTCACTTCCTCAGTAGAGTGGAAAAGGAGACTAGCATCACCAGATATTACATAGTACCAGATATTACACAACACCACCACCACTGCATCCTGTTATAACTAGACTACTGGAGGGGTTCTGTCTTACCAGTGATCTTGTGCAAAGGAAAAGGAACACTGCCACACCTGGCTCTCCAACCAAGGTGCATGAACTGAGGAGCAAACTAAAGTGAAGAGGACATTCTTGGAAGAGGAACTCTCAGAGGGCAGTTGGAGTTGAAAAAAACACATATTTATTGATATAACTAATGCATTTCGGCCCATAGCCTTCATCAGGGTTTTACAGATACGTAGTAAAATGAGATCACTTACCAGTGATCTTGGCCTGGGTGGTGTCCAGGGGTCCAGTTGGGAACAGCAGCTCTCCATGGTCTCCTCCAGAGAGGGGGCCGTATTTGATGCGGTAGTTGTCTACTTGAGCCTGGCTGTTCTTCCACTCCAGAGTGATGCTCTCGTCAGTCAGCTCTACCGTCTGCAGGTCCCGCGGGGCATCCAGGTCTGGAACACATCCAGTCACACATCAGTCAGGGGGGGAATGTTATGATCCCCTCGTAAATACAGTACGATGTGTGGTCCAGACCCCAGTTGAGAACAGACCATCACTTTTTTATCGCCTGTTAGTATGTTTGCCTAGAATGTAGCTCCCCAGGCAAAATGACTTTGACACTCCTGGCCTAGCTCATCAAAGATGGTGGACAGGTTTTTGATCTCTTTTTTAAGTTTATTGGATGTTCATTCTAAATCTAATCTAAATGTATAACTGGTAAAGGGTCAGACATTAACATATAAACATTTCACTAATCAACAGTACATTTACTTTACCAGCAAACAAGAAAACAAATTATTACGTATCCAGCATTTTGATAGTGTGCTGTTTATAGGGTTGCACAATTCCAGCCACTTTCCCCCAAATCCCAGGTTTTCCAGAAATCCCGGTTGAAGGCATTCCGGATTTCCTGCTTATTCCCTCCCGATTCTAGGATTTCTGGAAAACTTGAAGTTAGCAGAATTTTGCAACCCTAGTGCTGTATAATTTGCTTGTCTCTAACGGGCCCTGGTGCACTATAAAGGGAATCGGGTGCCAAATGGGACACAGCTCTCGTCTTACCTGTTAGGAAGGTCTCAGACACGGGCACGCTGGTCATCTCTCCCCTCTTGGCCATGAGAGACACCTCATACTCTGTGTCAGGGTTCAGGCTGCCCAGGTGGTGTTGTGTGTCGCTGGAGGACAGCTCCACTGTGTTCCTGTCTGAGGGGTTGTCGCTGGGCCCGTAGGACATGCTCACCCCGTCCACCATGGCCACCGGCAGGAACCAGGTCACCAGCGCTGTGGTGTCCGTCACATCACGCACATCCACCTCTCTGGGAGAATCGATTTCTGGGGAGAGAGGAGGGGGAATACATGGTGCTATATGAATACAGCCCTATGGTACCTGGTCAAGAGTATTGCACTATACAGGGAATAGGGTAGTATTTGGGTCGCATCCCAGGACTGAGAACATTTAGTTAGCATTCATGAGGTTATTCATGTAGAGCAGTGTTTCCCAAACTCAGTCCTCGGGACCCCAAGGGGTGCAAGTTTTTGTTTTTGCCATAACACTACACGGAGGGTGAATACAGGGTGCTATATGAATACATCCCTATGGTACCTGGTCAAAAGTATTGCACTATACAGGGAATAGGGTAGTATTTGGGTCGCATCCCAGGACTGAGAACATTTAGTTAGCATTCATGAGGTTATTCATGTAGAGCAGCGTTTGGTCAGAGAACGGGTTTGTTAAGGCAGGTTGCCTATTTTTAATAATGCAAGGGAGGTGATACTGGGAGCAGGTGGCCTGGTAAAAGGACAAGGATAGGGCAGAGATTTAAAGAGTTTGAGCTCTCATCAGAGCCTTAGTTACAGGGTTGAATATGAATAGTGAGAGCATTTACTACCAATAATAGTTTGAAAATAAACTGTATTTTCTTGTATGCATCCATGCAAGATGTTATTCATGTAAGTACAGATCTCTACCCGAAGCAAGAAAGGCACTTTCCCTACATTATGGTGGAATTGATTTGTCACATTTAGCAACTTCAGGAAAATCAACCTTCTGCAGAAGGCAGATAAAACAGGGAATCTGCACTGGAGCTTAACATAGATTTAACCGCCAATGAGATTGGCTGGCTATGTGTGTGTGTGTGTGTGTGTGTGTGTGTGTGTGAGTGTCGTTCGAGGGTTGTGATTGTTTCCTGGGAGGATGATGGCTTCCCATGAGCCTGAGTGGTGCCTCCCTCCCTCCCACAAACAACACATGCAATGGGGGAGGGGATGGGGAGGGGGGAGGGGATCACTCCATGCAATTAGTCCCACAGAATGCTAATGTCTATGTGGAATGAGTCTGTGTGTTTTAATGGCAGACATAGAGAGGCCTTGAGCTATATGGAGATCTAGGCGACATAATCCCAGTGCTGTTGTGTAAAAGTATGTTTGTGTGTGTGTGTGTGTGTGTATGTGTGTGTGTGTATGGGTGTGTGTGTGTGTGTGTGTGTGTGTGTGTGTGTGTGTGTGTGTGTGTGTGTGTGTGTGTGTGTGTGTGTGTGTGTGTGTGTGTGTGTGTGTGTGTGTGTGTGTGTGTGTGTGTGTGTGTGTGTGTGTGTGTATGTATGTGTGTGTGTGCGGTGTGTATGTGTGTCTCTGTGTGTGTGTTTAACAGTACATAGCATGGTGCTCAGGTTCCAATGTTCAACAGCTCAACAGCTCCATAGACTTCAGACACATAAATGCTAGTCCTATAGTGTCAGTCAACGCTATAATTTACAAAGGGGGGCATATAAGAGGAGAATGTCAGGTAGCTAATGGCTTTTCCTTGCTTGGTTCTGTTTACTCTGGCAAAGCGAAGGCAGTTTTCAAACTATAAATAAGCAGAGAGAGCCTGACCTTGATTTGGGATGAAGGTGAGGCAATAAAAGTTAGTACAGAAACTTGTGAAGAACATTTGCTTCAGCATATTGAAATCTCTTTATTCTGATTTGTTGAAAGAGAACTCTCGCAAGGGCAGGGGTGAAAGCTCCCAATCTGTTCAGCTCCCATGTCAGGGCTGGAATGTTCCACAAAGCTTTTTTTCTTAATGATGATAACCCATCATTCTCCATGACTATTCTTTAATGTGTTGGTGGTGCAGTATATTCTAACCTCCCCTCGAGCCACCTAAAAATAGTTTGGCTGGTGAGAGGGTTAGGGAACCCAAGCTGGCAGGTGTATAGTTCCAACACCAAAACCTGTTGTTGTATTGATCCCATGAAAGCCATTAGCCTTTACAGCAGCAGCCTTTTGGAGATATGATTTCCTCATAACTGTTAAACCTGCCGAGGGGGTAGGGATGGCTTTTCACTGCCTCTAGTAAATCAAGACGATGCCATGAAAAGTAACAAGCTAATCACTCAATGTTGGCACTTCAGGATGCCTTGGACAGACTGTCCAGCTGCATCCCAAATGGATACACTATAAAGGAAATAGGGTGCCATTTGGGACACACTATCAGAGCTGCAGCAGAGGGGTTTGTCAATAGAGAAATCAATTGAATCAAGGTGACAATGTGTTTCTGCGCGTAACTGCTTCTGAGTCTGTCTGTATTGCTGGAAATCGTGTCTTTTAAATCTCCAGCAGGCGGTCAGAATGGCGTAAAAGGGGTTTACGGATTATTCCAATGCAAATATGTCATGAATACAAGGATTACAGTACACTTGAGGTTAGCAGGAAATAATTAATAATAATATTTTTAAATAGTTATTTTATTTACTTGTTTCATTGTGCGACAAGTGCAAATACTTGGGTGGGTTTCCGTCCTACAAGCTACTATCTACGCAGGCTCAACATTCAGGTTCATTTTCCAGCTGAAAGATATTGGCCTGGAGGAGCAAATTATTGTCGGAAAAACAAATGAATAGAACTCTATGAGTGCTGTATGTATGTACTCACTTGTGAAAACATTCTTGCGTGCTGGGGGTCCACTGGTGTTGTTCTTCACCACCTCCAGTTTGACCTCGTACTCCTGACCAGGTCCCAGCCCAGACTGTTGGAACATGGTGTCAGGGCTGCCCAGGGAGTTCAGAATCTCCCCATTCTCCTCTTTCTGACAACACCAAACAACACCAGTTATTAAAATGGTATGGCATGTTTTATGGCACACTTCCCCTTCGGGATCTATAAAGTACCTATCTATCTAGTGTATCTACCGTTACCCACCTCAAAGTCAAGTTTGGGCTCCTTCCCAAATGGCACCCTAATCACTACTTTCCCAGGGCCCCTCTGGTCAAAAGTAGTGCACTTTATAGGGAATAGGGTGCAATTTGGGACACAACCTTGGTGTGGGAATAGGGCAGCCACATCATACTCAGAGGATTCTGTCTGTGATTGTTAAACTACAGAAAGTGTGTGGGGGGAACTGAATTTAATGAACTGTGGCTTTCATGTCCTTGGACTACTTCTCATGGACTTTTTATAAGAAAAAACAAAGCATTTAGAAACAATAATCGTTCTATGCCTCATTGCTGCAGTACATGGCCATTATAGCTGGCAACAGAAGCCTCGCAGAACATTTAGTCACATTTAACTGCTGACTTAGAGACTTAGAGACTTGAATACTGGCTCGGCTAAAATATTTTCCACAGGATACTCACCCTGTTTCACATAGTATGTGTCCCAAATGGCACCCTACACCATATTCCCTATATAGTGCACTACTTTTGACCATAGGGCTCTGGTCAAAAGTTGTGCCTGGGGGTGTATGGTATCTACCACAGGGAAATGGGGATAATGTCAGGCTGTTGGCTTCTGAAGATCTCAACCTCCTCCTTGTGGAATATGTTGAGAGAGATCCATTAACAACATGCAATGCACCATGGGAGATGGAGGAGGGGTGTGTTTCTCACTCACAGATTGTCTGAAGATGAGGGGTCTACTACTGATAACTCAGTGTTTATATAGATGAGTAGTCTACTACTGATAACTCAGTGTTTATATAGATGAATGGTATACTACTGATAACTCAGTGTTTATATAGATGAATGGTATACTACTGATAACTCAGTGTTTATATAGATGAATGGTCTACTACTGATAACTCAGTGTTTATATAGATGAGTAGTCTACTACTGATAACTCAGTGTTTATATATATGTATGGTCTACTACTGATAACTCAGTGTTTATATAGATGAATGGTCTACTACTGATAACTCAGTGTTTATATAGATGAATGGTCTACTACTGATAACTCAGTGTTTACATAGATGAATGGTCTTCTACTGATAACTCAGTGTTTATATAGATGAATGGTCTACTACTGATAACTCAGTGTTTATATAGATGAATGGTCTACTACTGATAACTCAGTGTTTATATAGATGAATGGTCTACTACTGATAACTCAGTGTTTATATAGATGAATGGTCTACTACTGATAACTCAGTGTTTATATAGATGAACTCAGTGTTTACATAGATGAATGGTCTTCTACTGATAACTCAGTGTTTATATAGATGAATGGTCTACTACTGATAACTCAGTGTTTATATAGATGAATGGTCTACTACTGATAACTCAGTGTTTATATAGATGAATGGTCTACTACTGATAACTCAGTGTTTATATAGATGAATGGTCTACTACTGATAACTCAGTGTTTATATAGATGAATGGTCTTCTACTGATAACTCAATGTTATTTTCATATAAGGGGTCTACTGCTGATAACTTACAGTGTTTCTGAAGATTAGGTTCCAGCCATCAAAGGGGATGTCCAGGGGGTCCCACTGAACCTCTACTGCAGTCTCCCTCACTGATGTGAACTTGAGTCCCTCAGGCTCAGGGAGATCTAATGGGATGAGACAGACAAATACAACCATGTTTGATGTTCTGTTTACTAAACCCTCAGGACACCCAGCACATGGACTGCGTCAAAAATGGCACCATATTCCCTATATAGTGCACTGCATTTGATCAGAGCCAGCCCTATGGGTCCTGGTCAAAAGTTGTGCACTATATAGGAAATAGGCTGGCTGGTTCCAATGACAGGTAGATTAAGGGTAACAACATTGAAAAACTACAACATCCCAGGTACAATTAGGGATTTAATTAAAGGAGGTTAGCAACAGATGTTCGCATGAGCCCCGCAATCAATTCTTTGATATTAAAAGTGAAATTAGATTTTTATTGACTGCCCTTTATGAATGTCACTTTTGCATTACCCCTGATCTGGGAGAGCAGACAAGTCAGGCATCAAAGGTGAGGTGAGGTAGTATGGTGTCCATATTAGGACAGTCTCAGTCAGACCCTAATATGGACACCGTAGCGGTGATTTACATCTCCGGGGTGAAGTTTCCGCAGGTACAGATCTAGGATCAGCTTACCTTCCCCCAATCCTAACCTTCACTATTAGTGGGGAAATTGCAAAACTGACACAAGGTGAGCGTCTTAGGTCAACTTTATACTACTCCTGACTTACGTGTTGCCACTCTGGCACTGACAGGGACACTCCTCTTGTTGTTGAGGACAGCGAAGACACTGATCAGATACTCCACACCAGGCTCCAGCTCACTGATGGTGGCGTTCTTCTGATCCCCAGGCACACGCATGTCGAGCTCCAGGCCTCCAAGGGCGGTGGGCACATAGGTGACCAGGTACTCTGCCACCTGCATCTCGTTAGCCCAGGACAGGTCCACTGTCTCTGGGGTGACCTCCAGCACTGTCAGATCCTTGGGTGGAGACACTGGAGAGACCCACAACCACATCATGTTAGGGGACATATTCGGGATAGTAGGTAAAATTGTAACAGATAAGTGTTTTTTTTTTATTGTTTATACCATGGACTTGGTTGGGTACGCTTTATCAAATAAAATAAAAACACACAACTATGATACGTATCACAAATGCAAAGAACAATGCCTATGAATCACTATCAAGTTCAAGTAGGCAGTCTTATTGGGCAGGGAAATTAAAATGTCCAGATTTGCTAAATGTATAATTTTGTCTGAAAATTCCAGCAGCATGACTACACTTCAATGGAGGGTGGGCTTCGAATCGCATAATTTGCCAAACCAGATTTTGAAAATGTTCTCTGATCTGAGTTATTTTGCGGCAACTAATGACATAAATTCAACCAAATCATAAATTATCCAAGATGATGCCAATAGCCATGGAAAATTTCATTTGACATCCACATTAAACTGCAACATTATTTATTCAAAGAATATATAATATAATAATAATATGCCATTTAGCAGACGCTTTTTATCCAAAGCGACTTACAGTCATGCGTGCATACATTTTTGTGTATGGGTGGTCCCGGGGATCAAACCCACTACCTTGGCGTTACAAGCGCCGTGCTCTACCAGCTGAGCTACAGAGGACCACCAATGAAAGAAATATAACCAATGTTGTGCAGCCAGAAACATTAGCATTTAAATGAATGTCATCATGTGGAAATGTTCCTCAAACCTATTAGCCATAAACAAATTATATCACATCAAGCGATACTCCCATCAACCAAAGGATGTGAGATTCTCTCTCTCTCTCTCTCTCTCTCTGTCTGTCTCTCTCTATTTGTCCAGAATTACACCCTATTTCCTAGTACAGCGATTCTCAACCAAATATGGGTCGCGGGAGGTTTTGAATAGGTTGCGAGTGTGAGTAAAACATTTAATAAATACATGTATTACATTTTTTATGAAAGATACTCCAGTCTTAACTTAAACGACTAAAACCAGGTAGGGCCTTCCTCAATATAGAGTTATTAGCAGCACTATTTAGCAGATTTGGTTGATTTTGTGGTCTCAAACAGCATCTTCATCAAGAATTAATGACAATGAAAAAGGTGGGACTGCTGTTCCCTTTTCATATGATTAGTACATTTACTATCAATATAGCATTCAAAATAGTTTTCCAGATTGCATTTTATCCCCCCAAAAAATCATATTGGATCGCGACTGAGACAACCTGGTTCAATTTGGGTCCTGAGGCAAAACCAGTTGAGAACCACTGCCCTAGTACACTACTTTTGACCAGAGCCCTATTGGCCTTAGTCAAAAGTAGTGCACTATAAAGGGAATAGGGTGCCATTTGGGGTTGATCCTCGGTCTCTTACCCCCAGAGCAGTCCTCTCCGATGAAGCCTTCGTTACATAGACACACTCCATTCATACATCTCCCCTGGTCCTCACAGTCTCCTGGACAGGTCAGCACAGAGCAGTCCAAGCCCTGGAATCCCTCGAAGCACACACACTTCCCGTCTACGCAATAGCCCCTCTCCAGGCAGTTGTTGGGACACGTCTTCTCACTGCAGTCCTCCCCAGCAAAGCCTTGGTTGCACACACACTGGCCGTTAACACAGCGCCCACGGTTCAGACAGTTGTTGGGACAAGTCAGCTCGCTGCAGTCTTTGCCCGTGAAGCCCATGAAGCACACGCACGTGCCGTCAACACACTCGCCGCGACCCAGGCAGTCCTTGGGGCAGGTCTTGATGCTGCAGTCGTCCCCGGCAAAGCCTTTACTGCACACACACTGTCCTTTCAAACAGCGGCCTTGGTTCAGACACTTCTTGGGGCAGGAGATTTCAGAGCAGTCGTCACCCTCGAATCCTACATTGCAGACGCACTCTCCGTTGACACACTGACCTCTGTTGCTGCAGTTGTCTGGGCAAGACAGGATGGAACAGTTCACTCCCTCGAAGCCTGGGTCACAGATGCACCTCCCGTTGAAGCAATGGCCTCTTTCAGTACAATCGTTGGGGCAGGTGAGCTTGGAGCAGTCCTCGCCGATGTAGCCGGAGTGACACACACATTGGCCGTCGACACACATCCCACGGTTGTTACAGTTGCTGGGGCAGGTGAGTTCCCCGCAGTCCTCCCCGTTGAAGCCCTCCTCGCAGAAGCAGGTTCCGTTGACACAGCGGCCGCGATCGTAGCAGTCGTTGGGGCAGATGAGCTCGGAGCAGTCGTAGCCCGTCCACGGCTCGTCACACACACACTCATCGTCCACGCAGCGGCCGCGTCCCAGGCAGTTGTTCAGGCAGTTGGTCTGGGAGCAGTCGTTCCCGGTGAAGCCGTCCTCACAGATACACATTGGCGTCGATGCACTCCCCATTGTCCCCACAGTTCATCTGACACAGCTCCATGCTGCAGTCGTCTCCGTCGAAGCCCTCGAAGCAGACACACTTGCCGTCCACGCAGCGTCCCTGGTCTTGGCAGAAGTTGGGGCACTCAGGCTCAGTGCAGTTGGGTCCCTTCCAGCCGGGCTCACACACACAGCTGCAGGTCTCAGTGCTGAAGTTACCACGGCCGTTACAGTAAGGCTTGGTGGCCACCTCACCTGAGGAAACATAGAGGAAACAACACAGAAATAAATTCAATGATGATAATACTATAACTTCTATAGCAGATATTATACATACAAAAAGACAACAGCAATGAGTCAGAACAGGGGATACGGATCTATAGAATAATTAAAACCAATGTAGGAATGTAATCTAAGTGAAAACTACAACTCTAACTGCTGTGCCACTAGAACAGTGTTTCTAAATCCTGGTCCTGGGAACCCAAAGTGTTGCACATTTTGGCCTTAGCACTAAAACACGTTATACAACTAATCAACTCACTATCAAGCCTATAGTTTAATCAGGTGAGTCAGGACCAGGAATTGTGAAACACTGCCTGAGAATGTCTCTGGTCAAAATGTTCTTTACTGTACCTGTAATCTGGGCTCCACAGCAACTGGCTCCACTGCCACACTGTTCTCTGAGGCTGGACAGCTCAGACTCCAGCATCTCCAGTCTGCTAAGGATGTCCTTCATATCGGGCATGTGGTTGTCACAGCCGCACGCCTGCTTGGGGATGTTGATGCGGTGGGTGAACACGATCTGGTTCTCTCCGTCCATCGTGTGGTCCAGGTTCTCCGAGCTCCGCATGGCCGACTGGACTGGACTTCGTTTAGGCTTGACCTTGGTTCCTCCTGGGCTCTCCACGTCTACGGAACACAGGGAGCTGGAGGGGACATTGATGTTGTAGACGTGGTTGAAGACCACCGGCTGGTCTGGGTGGGGCAGGGTCAGGTTCTCAGAGGGTTCTCTCAGGGTTTCTCTGCGGTGCCGGATGATCTTCTTGACCAGGCCGGTGCTGGAGAGCTGAAGCAGCACAGCCACGGTCACACAGCCTAGGAGCAGGCCTTTCATCACCATGATGACCAGGTCCTGTCACGTCCTGCTGGGAGTACTTGTGAACAGTCAGGGATGGGGGAGGAGAATGGAGTCCTTCTATCTGGGAGATGACACAGATGCCCTTGTGTCCTAGAAAGAAAGAAAGAAAGAAAGAAAGAAAGAAAGAAAGAAAGAAAGAAAGAAAGAAAGAAAGAAAGAAAGAAAGAAAGAAAGAAAGAAAGAAAGAAAGAAAGAAAGAAAGAAAGAAAGAAAGAAAGTTGAGATTGTGACACATACTTTATGTTATAGTACAGTAGCTCAACCCACTCTCAATTATCAAGTTATGAAACTCAGAACTACGTTGACATTCCTAGTTTGCCCTTGCTAGCCAGTATGGAGCCGACAGTGACCAAATCAAAACACCCTGATACACAGGGGACCATGTGGCTGCAGTGAAATGTCATAGTATCCCACTAAAAGCAATTAACCTTCCACAATCCCCCTCCAATACATGATCCTGTTGCTGCCTGCCTGCCAGTCAGTCAGTCAGTCAGTCAGTCAGTCAGTCAGTCAGTCAGTCAGTCAGTCAGTCAGTCAGTCAGTCAGTCAGTCAGTCAGTCAGTCAGTCAGTCAGTCAGTCAGTCAGTCAGTCAGTCTGTCTGTCTGTCTGTCTGTCTGTCTGTCTGTCTGTCTGTCTGTCTGTCTGTCTGTCTGTCTGTCTGTCTGTCTGTCTGTCTGTCTGTCTGCCTGCCTGCCTGCCTGCCTGCCTGCCTGCCTGCCAGCCTGTCTGTCTGTCTGTCTGTCTGTCTGTCTGTCTGTCTGTCTACCCTTCCTGCCTGCCTGCCTGCTTGTCTCCTTGCCAGCCTGCCTGTCTGCTTGCCTGTTTCCCTGCCTACCTGCCTGTTTCCCTGCCTGCCGGTCTGCCTGCACCCCATCTCAACCCCCCTGTTCACAGCGGAGGACACAGACACTTAGTGGATGACATTGTGGCTTATTTTCTCTATTTCTCTGAGGACCAACACTGCAGGGCCAATACTGCAGGGGTGGTGTGTTGTGACCTTGAGTACTGCTGGAGCTTATTCTCCGTCCGGGTTTCTCATGACAGGCTGCCATGAACAGCAGGCAACACCTGCATGTGGGGAGTGGGGAGGGAGGAGCTACCCTTCTCCCTCTCCTTCCCAACTCCCTGTACCACAACCCTAGCTGACATTTTAATACCGATGAGGGGAGACCATCTGCAGGTTTCCGGCTAGCCTAGCGGCGCACCGCACGGAGTGGCCGGGTGTTCAGTGTGTGCTCCAAATGGCACCCTATTCCCTTTATAGTGCACTACTTTTGACTAGAGCCCTATGGGTAGTAGTGGTCAAAAATAGTGCACTGTAAAGGGGATAGAGTGCCATTTGGTATGCATTACAGGGCTCCCCACTATTCAAATTCACCTGACCGCTCTACAGACGGCCATTCAGTTTCAATTGGTAACATGATTCTTCCTACACCAGAAGTTACTGGGCTATTTGGCAAGGCTCCCGAGCAGTGGAGGCTGCTGAGGGGAGAAAGGCTCCTAATAATGGCTGGAACGGAGCGAATGGAATGGCATCAAACACATTGAAGCCATGTGTTTGATGTATATGATACCATTCCACTTATTCTACTCCAGCCATTACAATGAGCCCGTACTCCCAAATTAAGGTGCCACCAACCTCCTGTGCTCCCGAGACATGTTGTTTCTTTTAAGAGTAACGGTCTGCTGGAAAATGTGCCGGGATTTAATTGTGGTTTGGAGACTGGCAGTAAAGTTTGTTTTCTTTCCTTTAATCTTGTGGTTACATAAAACATACAGGTTAGTTGAAGTATTCTCCACTGTAAATACAGGTTAGTGAAAGTATTCTCCACTTTGGGCAACAGAGCTTGAATGTGGAGCATAAACTACATGTTCTGTATCAACACAAGAATAGATCTTGATATAAAGGAAGGGGGGATATGTGAAGACTATGCCTAACAATAAGGTATTAAGTAACTATTAGGTAACTTTGTGTAAGTTAAGAGTGACACAAGAAGAAATAGCCTGAGTGTGTTGTTTTTTTAACCTTCTCATTATTAGCACATTATACGTGGGGACATGAGTGTAAATACAAATGTAACAATGGATTTTCCTGCCTTCAAAAAAAAGGTGTGTGTTTTGTTCCCCAAGTGAATTAAAGACTAACTTTTCTGCACCATCTATTTGGTGTTCCTCACCTTCAGTAAGAACATAATTTCTACACTCTCCCCTGTGAGAGCAGACGGCGGGGGGCTGACAGCCAGGACAGTCACTGGCACAGGGGAGTCATGAACAGGTAATATCCTGTGCTGTGAGGAGCTGCAGCTGCTCTGCTTCTGTCTGCTCCGTCTCCTGAACCGGGGCTGGCTGACGTGTGATTAGGCTGGCTGACAGATGAGCTCCAGTCACAGGGATACAGGGGATGGGATCCCACGGATGCTCTCAGCTTCAGCAGCCCCACGCAGCCAGCCCCTGATTAGACAGACAAGGATGAGTGCCTCTGTGATGGACGCACAGTAAGAGCACTAATGTAGCCTGCTAATGGGAGCGCTAAGATCTGAAACGTAGGGGTGTGAAAAAGCTACCCCCCACCTCACAGGCATACACGCACACACACACACACACACTCACTCCACTGTGCCTGAGCATCGCAAACCAGGGATTAAATCAACAAAATAGCCAGAAAATTGCCTTGAGCTGCTGCTGGGGTTTTAGTTCTGGGCGGATGGTTGGCTTTCTCACTTTGGAGACTGGCTGGCTTCTCTCCACATGGACCTCTAAGAGACCCATCCCTCCCCGAGAGACTGAACTACTCTTTGTGCGAGGCATTATTTAGCAAATCTGTGGCTTTGGCAAAACACAGTATTATTCAAAAATAAGTGGAAAGGAATAAAACATGTATAATCAGAACCAAACTTGTATTTCTCAACTATCTACAGACTGGATAAGCTAATGCCAGCTACTTGTGACCATACTATTATTATTAGATGATACTGTGAATAACAGACAGTTTTAGCGTTTTTCTACCATGGGAAACAAAGAAAACAGCCTCCCCTCCTGGACTTCCGTCAGCAGACCCCCGTGGCCATGGTTCTATGCTAATGCAGCTGGTCGCTGGCACACTCACTCGGACTTGACACAATTTGACTGCTGCTGCTTTCTAATTCTCTCACTTGTTTTTACTCTATTGTTAGCTTCTCAGACCGCAACAAAGCCAGTTGGCTACCATGTGGCCAATGTGAGGGGAATTTTACCAGGGAAAGAAGAACCTGCTGGCTGGCACACATATTTAGTGCAAGTGATCTAAATTAGCCCAGTATTGTATGAGTGGTACTGAGCCGGCGACGCTTCAGTTTTATACCAACCACACACAGAGGACAGCTGGGAATGGTTTCAAACAAAGTCCCGTCTTCAAAAGCTTCTCATTCAAAACTTTGCAGTATTGACTATTCATCTGTGCTAACAATGGTGCCTATTTAAGCAATAAGGCCCGAGGAGGTGTGGCATATGGCCAATATACTATGGCTAAGGGCTGTTCTTATGCACAACGCAACGAGGAGTGCCTGGTTACAGCCCTTGCAAAAGTTTGGATTGATTAATTAGAATAAAATGGCAAATAAGAATGTGTCTACACATCTCAAAACAAGTAAAGCATCATTCTTCTCTGACCCTGCCATATGGAAATACAATAATGATCATTCAGATTAGAGTTGATGTCTGCGCCCCTGCAGAAATCCAATTAGCATAATAAAAAAGTCCCCATAAAAATCTGTCAGTTTAAGCATTGGTTGCGTCTCAATCCACCGCATCCGCCGATGTCGCATTTCAGCATCTGCGGTGTTTGTCAGACCATTGCGAAAATCAGTCTTCTCCCAAAATCGTCTGTAGCATATGAACGGTTTAGCCTACAAACTATTATGACCCCTCTATGGAAAGATGAGACTCTCACGAACACGATGGTGTTCTCTGTTTTGCTCTGAAGTCGGTACAGCCAATGGGACTCGTCTGAAGTTGATAGAGCCGAACTTCCGACTTCTGTCTGTAGCGTCTGAACAGTTTGGGCTACACACTAATATGACCCCTCTGTGGAAATTAGTGGATTCGGCTATTTCAGCCACACCCGTTGCTGACAGGTGTATAAAACTGAGCACACCGCCATGCAATCTCCATAGATAAACATTTACAGTAGAATGGCCCGTACTGAGGAGCTCAGTGACTTTCAATGTGGCACCGTCATAGGATGCCACCTTTCCAAAAGGTCAGTTGTTCAAATTTCTGCCGTGCTAGAGCTGCCCCGGTCAACTGTAAGTGCTGTTATTGTGAAGTGGAAACGTCTAGGAGCAACATCGACTGAGCACAAGCTCACAGAACGGGACCGCCGAACGCTGAAGCGCTTAGCGCATAAAAATCATCTGTCCTCGGTTGGAACACTCACTACCTAGTTCCAAATTGTCTCTGGAAGCAACATCACTACAATAACTGTTTGTTGGGAGCTTCATGAAATGGGTTTCCATGGCCGAGCAGCCACACACAAGCCTAAGATCACCATGTGCAATACCAAGCGTCGGCTGGAGTGGTGTAAAGCTCGCCGCCATTGGACTCTGGAGCAGTGGAAACGCGTTCTCTGGAGTGATGAATCACGCTACACCATCTGGCAGTCCGACGGACGAATCTGGGATTGGCGGACGCCAGCAGAACCCTACCTGCCCCAATGCCTAATGCCAACTGTAAAGTTTGGTGGAGGAGGAATAATGGTCTGGGGCTGTTTCTCATGGTTCGGGCTAGGCCCCTTAGTTCCAGTGAAGGGAAATCTTAACGCTACAGCATACAATTACATTATAGATGATTATGTGCATACAATGACATTCTAGACGATTCTGTGCTTACAACTTTGTGGCAACAGTTTGGGGAAGGCCCTTTCCTGTTTCAGCATGACAATGCCCCGGGGGCACAAAGTGATGTCCATACAGAAATGGTTTGTCAAGATCGGTGTGGAAGAACTTGACTGGCCTCCACAGAGCCCTGACCTCAACCCCATCAAACACCTTTCGGATGAATTGGAACGGCGACTGCGAGCCAGGCCTAATTGCCCAACATCAGTGCCCGACCTCACTAATGCTCTTGTGGTTGAATGGAAGCAAGTCCTTGCAGCAATGTTCCAAAATCTAGTGGAAAGCCTTCCCAGAAAAGTGGAGGCTGTTATAGCAGATGGGTGGACCATCTCGATATTAATGCCCATGATTTTGGAATGAGATGTTCGACGAGCAGGTGTCCACATACATTTGGTCATGTAGTGTATATATGGAGACAAAAAATTATAATATCCTGAGCTTTATTATATCTCTCAGATATAGCACAGACACTTCAGAACAAACTTGTTCCATGTAGTGAATCTGTTATTTAATGCGGCTTAGACAGGGTTTAGACTGTTATGAGTTTAAAAAATAGTGTAAAATGTGATAATGCTAACTAGGTTGACATGATTTTGATTGATCAAATAAGGATGATACTACATGCATCTACTGTAGCTACATCGCAAGCATCTGAAAATATATAAACTGATGAACAGTTTTACCATGTGGGTGTGGATACAATAAGCATGCTTCTTCAATTTCTATGGAAAAGAAGAGACCGTGTGAGACAGAACTGAGACCCCATAGAGATTAAATCTAATCCCCAGAAGTGTTTCTTTACATAAGTCTGCTTGTCATACTTCACTGTACCTCCCTGCTTTTATCATTAGTGTAATGTAAGAACCATGGCACTGTATGTCCAACTCCAACCAATGCAAGCCATAATCCTCCCGTACCTTACAGTACTAAACATAGTTTTTTTTCTCTGATAAAGATGCTTGTCTCTCCGCTGTATGTTGTATTTTTTCCTTCTGTATTGTTTAAGTCTTAGAGGATCTTAATCCGTCAATAAATCAAGTGAATCACTTATTCAACACAAAGCAGAAGGAAGAGGATCAGGCTGGAACATAGGGGTTAGCAAAACGGAAAACCAGGACACTGCAGCCCATTGAAATCCCTATAAACTACAGTTTTGTATAGCAGAATTTGCCTTCGACTGCATCCCAAATGGCACCATATTCCATAGTTCACTACTTTTGACCAGGGCCTCTGGTCAAAAGAAGAGCATTATATAGGGAATAGGCACAAGTAAGATTTTTGTAATAAATGTTCAATCGCTTAGCATAGCTGCTACCGTTTCCCACGCTAACCTCTAGTTTCAGGGGAAATAAAAAAATATTGCTATTTTGTCGATGATTGCTTTTCCAGTCGTACCTTTAATTTCATTTCCATGTCCAATTTTTCAGACACTGGAAGTTGTTCCTTCAATTGGTTCTGGAAGAGCACCTTATGATTGATTAGAGGGAGCCTTCCGCCTGTAGAGGAATTCAGACGTCATATGCAGAAGCCATGATTTATTTCAAACTCAGCCCAGCCTGGCCCCCATGCTGACAAACTTAATCATCACTGTACACTACAGGGGCGGACTGGGACCAAAAATCGTCCCTGCCATTTCTAACACACCAGTGCATTCTTTTCCTTGAGGCCCCCACACCTGCCAATTATTTTCCTTGAGGCGCCCATTATTAGCCAGATAATTATAATTTTGCACTACAAACCTAAGTTAGACAGGTCCACTAGGCTAAAAATGGACCAGCCCATCTGACATTTGCCCGAAATGCCAGATGGCCAGTCTGCCCTTGGTAGCCTAGCTTAACTAACACTCACTGTGCCATGATCAAGCTTGCCTAGTTTTGTAGGTCGCCCATAACAATGACGAGCTTGCCTTCTTTGGCACACACTCTTATTTAATCTGGGTTGCTCTTGAGGAGATGAACAACCAGTTATTGTCTGGAGGATCTTTTCACCTTGAGAGACACCATACAAAATATGTGGGTGGATGTATACTGTCCCAGAGTACCAGGCTCATTGACCATGGTATCAGAGTACCAGGCTCATTGACCATGGTATCAGAGTACCAGGCTCAATGACCAGGAAATGATGCTCCATCAAAAGCTCATGAGAAAATACCACATCAAACTGCCACATTAACAGCTTCCATAACTCTATCACGTCAAGATGAATCTTTAAATAGAAGCTTGGCAATAAGGTGGACACACTGGCTAATATTGAAATGGTTTGATATGCGCATAAATCACAATCACACGCCTGCAAGGTGAGAGGGGTCCTACTTATGTCCTCTTCTGGAGTGGTTCAAGTATTTGTTTCAATCTCCACGAAGGTCACAATCAGAGAGAGAAAGAGATAAAGAGAGAGAGAGAGAGAGAGAGAGAGAGAGAGAGAGAGAGAGAGAGAGAGAGAGAGAGAGAGAGAGAGAGAGAGAGAGAGAGAGAGAGAGAGAGAGAGAGAGTTGCTGAGGACAGCACTATACCTGTATGGCTGAGAGTTATAATCATCAAACACAGAAATTGATCTCCTGGATGACTAATAACGTGGG